TATTTTGTAGATCTCCCATAACAAAAGCATTTATTAGGCTTTAGAGCAATTATCAATTTCGGTGGGAACTAATGTATGGGAGGCATGTCCAATTCTCAATTCAGTTTTCACTAAATTTGGTGGAGACATAATTATCTGAGTGCCAACCTTACTTTCCAAAATACACCAGACACAATAGTCCAACGGATTGGTAATCGGAGATTTTGGTGGCCATTGTACGCTGGAAATGAAGCGAGGAACCTCATTTTTGTAACCATTCTTGGGTGGCGCGTGCTGAGTGAGATGGTGCTGAGTCATGTTGGAATGTCCAAGGTCTCCGGACAAAATGTTTGCGTGCCCAAGGCTTTAATACACCCTCCAGAATATTTTCGCGAAAATATTCGGCATTTATTTTGATGCCACGGTCGATTAATACAAGCGGAGAGCAACCATCGGATGTTATGACGGCCCACACCATCACCATGGCCGGCGCTTGAGTTCTGGTGGCCAACCGAAGGTTTACAAACTGCTGGACAACGAATGTTTTCTCATCGGAGAAAACCAAATTCGGCAGTTCACCACTTTCGGCCAAGCGAAGCAACTCTTTAGCTCTTTTGAGTCTATTTTCTTTCAGTTGCGGTGTAAGTTCTTGCACTTTTTTTTGAATTTCAATGCCTTTACCCCGAGCTCATTTTTCAATATTTTTCAGAATGGAATATTGCGATTTGTTCAGCTCACGAGCCACTTTTCGGCCACTGCGACGCGGGTTTCGATCAAGTCGTTTTTTTACTTTTCGAACCATTCCTGCTGATGTTGCTGTTTTCTTCGTCCACTTTCTTGACGTCGGGCTACGCTACCAGTATCACGGTAGCGAGCGATGGTAGGAGACACAAAAGATTTATTCACATTTAAATGCTGGAGTGCTATAATAAATAGACACTTGGAGTGCTTGTAGGAGCTATGGCTTTATCTTAACCGATTTTCACCAAATCTTATGTACTTGCTTCTAGACAGAATTTGGTCGGTTGAACCGAAATCCAGGTCATTTGGACTGATATTGGCCATTTAGTGCCCAATTAACCCGAAATCGGTTGAAGATATGTGGGAGCTATATCTAAATTTCAACCGATTCTCACCAATTTCAATAGGGCTCATCCTTGGTCCTACCAAATGTTGTTTGAACAATTTCTTCTCAATCGGATAGTAAATCCGACCTGCATTTTGTTCACAAAAATACATGGACAGATGGACTGACATGCATAAATCGACATAGAAAGTGATTCTATGAAGATCCTCGCTTCCTTCTCCATGTTACAAAAAAATGCACAAAGACAAAATACCCTTACCACCATGTGGTGTAGGGTATAAAAATCCATCAAAAATTCGAAGAAATATTCTAAAGAAAAATAACAGAACGTCATAAAAAAGCCAAGATTTTGGTCAGGGCATTCTTGAAAAAAATATTAAAAAATCCGGTTTTAGTTAGTAGGTCCTTTCAATTATTATACCCTCCACCATTCTATGGAGGGTATATTAACTTTGTCATTCCGTTTGTAACTCCTCGAAATATTCATAATAAACCCTATAAAGTATATTTATTCTGGATCAGCGTAAAATTCTAAGACGACCTAGCGATGTCCGTCTGTCTGTCTGTCGTAATCACGCTATCTTTCCACCAAATTGAGGTAGAAGGCTAAAATTTTGCACACATGCATAGTTTACCAGTAGCCAGGTTAAGATCGTAAATGGGCCATGTCGGTCTACGTTTTCGTATGGCCCCTACTAATTTCCGGAAGTTTTTTTTTTTTAAATTCCAGTTTCTTCCAAATGGTGGGGGGTATTGAAAGTTCGTCCTTGCCGAACTTAGCTGCATTTTTACTTGTTTAATCCTAATTTTCATCGGGAAAAATGCTTTGAAAAATTCAGCATATTTGTGATTACAGGATTCTAGAAAAATCTCTAAAAATCCACGAATTTTCCTAAAAGGTCCTCGAAAAAATCCAAGTTTTGTCAAGTCTCCATATAAATTTACCACCCTATATTCGGTATTTTGATGATTTTAACTAAATTTCTCAATGGAATTATCTCCAATACCAAGTGTTTAGAGTTTGTAATAGGCGGTGCCTCCTCTGCCAAATAATTCCCTATACGGGTCCACGTCTTCCTAAAGTCCCAATTACCTTTAACACCTGCTATTTGGTATTGTAATAATTTTAGCAGCATTTTTCCACGAATTTTAATTACTTTTTGCAAGTTGCCTCCGATTGGTAGTGGGTTCGAAAGCTCGTCCCTTCCGAAATTAGCTGCATTTTTACTCGTTTTTTATATCATAAAGGAAAAATTAGTTATATAGTAAAATTTTTACATTCTTAAAGGTTCTGGAACAGAGCGATTGTTAAACATTTTGCCCTTTGACCTCGAAAATTGCTCTGTTCCAGAACCTGCAAGAACAACTGTACTTAGGAGATAATTTTGTTTTTCCTCCTGTTATTATATCATGGTGATATGTATACATATACGTCAATGTTTTGATTTTTTTTTTGACGTTGTAATCTATAACCTGTAACCCATAATAGTCGAATTTCCTTTGGTAAACAAAGAACATTCTTCAAGTTCATGATTTGCATTTAGATTACCAACGCGTGCCAATTTTATTGCTCCACTGTGGCGTATAAAGTACAACTGCGCTACCCTACCCTAACACAATTTTTCATAAACGTTAGAACATAAACGTGATCACTTGTTGTTGTTATATTCTATTATTGGCCTTTAGCTTAAGTTTTACTAGACACAATAAAATTTCAAAATTTTGTTATCTGACTGTCTGATGAAGTCAAATAACCATAAATGAATTGCCCAAATAATATTTAAACATTTCAAAAGAGATGTCTGCAAAATTTTGAGGACCAATTAAAAAAAGACGCAAGCAAATAATAAAACAGTGGAACATTGATATGACGTCTATGTAGATTTGGGGTCAAAAAACATATAAGGACAAAATTTGGAATAATTATAATTGAAGTTCATTTAAGACATTTTGAGTCGATTCAGACATGGCATAACTGACCATTTTCCAAAATATTTTCGGATTTAATAATGTTTATAATTTTTGTTGAATATAATTTTTGTTGAACATATAACGGAACCTCCCATTATTCGATATTTTGATGATTTTAGCGTCATTATTCACCGGAGTAGTTTCAAATTACGTATTTAGAGTTTGTAATGGGAACTACAGTCGGTGACAGAAAATAGTCTATGCAGGTCCAGGTCTTCGTATAGGCCCCATATATCAGTATATCCCTATACTCGGTATTTTGACGATTTTAGGTACAATACTCACCGAAATTGTTTGAAATGTCGTATTTGAAGTTCGTAAAGGATACTACAGCCTGTGACAGAAAATTGTCTATGCTGGTCCAGGACTTCGTATAGTTCTGATATAACAGTACCTCCCTATAAACGGTATTTTGATGATTTTAGCTACAGTATTAACTTTTGAGGATCTTCATAGAATCGATTTATGCATGTCAGTCCTTCCGGCTGTCCACGTATTTTTTGAACAAAGTGCAGGTCGCATTTATTATCCGATTGAGATGAAATTTTGCAAACAATATTTGTGTGGCCCAAGGACGAATCAGGATTGGTGAGTATCGGTTCAAATTTAGATAAAGCTCCCATATAAATATTTAACCGATTTCGGGTTAACTGTGCACCAAATGGCCAATATCAGTCCAAATTACCTAAATTTTGGTACATCCAACCGAATTCGGTCTAAAAGCAAGTACATCAAATTTGATTAAAATCGGTTCAGATATAGCTATAGTTCCTATGTATATGTTTCATCCGATTTGGTGTTTAAGTCCCTCACATGCGTAATATGCACTCCAGAAGAATGATATTTGGTACTCAAAAATACCTCTGTCAAATTGTATCGGTTCAGATTAGGATATAGCTCCCATATATATCTTTATCCGATATCAGGTTTATTGTGCGCCAAATGTCGAATATCAGGCCAAATGGACCGACCAAATAGGACTGAATTCATCCTATAAACCAATATTTCAAATTTGGAATGAATGGCTTCAGATATAGCTATAGCTGTCATATACATGTTTCATCCGATTTGTGGTTTAAAGTCCCTCACAAGCGTAATATGCATTCCACAACTTTGGTATCCTTTGGTCCCAAATATCATATACACTTCCGAAATAGTTGAATCAAATTTCGTCAAGATCGGTTCAGATTTGGAAATAGCTCCCATATATATTTTTAACCGATTTTGGGTTAATTGTACACCAAATTGCCAATATCAGTCCAAATAACCTGAATTTTGGCATATCACTGAATTCAGTCTAGAAGCAAATACATCAAAGTTGGTGAAAATCGATTCAAGGGTTTTAAGTCCCTCACATGCGTGATATGCACTCCAGAAGAATGATGTTTGGTACCGGATATCAAATACTGCTCAAAAATACCTCTGTCAAATTGTATCAAGACCGGTTCAGATTAGGATATTGCTCCCATATAAATCTTCAACCGACTTCGGGTTAATTGTCACCAAATGGCCAATATTAGTCCAAATGACCTAAATTTTGACACATCCCACCGAATTCTGTCTAGAAGCAATGGCTAACATCAGACCAAATGGACCGAATTTTGACAATTACGACTGAATCCATTCCTATAATTTTGGGATTCAAAGTCCCTCACAAGCGTAATATGCATTCCACAACAATGATCTTTGGTACCAAATATCAGATATAGCTCCCAAATAAGTGCATTAAATGCTGTCAAGATCGGTTCAGATTTGGATATAGCTCCCATATATATCCTCAAACAATTTCGGTTTAATTATGCACCAAATGGTCAATATCGGTCCATAAGTGCTGAATTTTGGTACATCAGACCGAATTCAGACTAGAAGCCTCCCTCTGTTTCCTTTGAAACCAAATTATAACTGCTCTAATGTTGATAGGTGCTGTGATCTACTTTAAATAAATTATTTCGTTTGTAGAGTTTCATATAGTCGGACGGTTTTATTTTAAAATCTTTTACAAATTTATTATTTTTTTTTTACTTTTACATCTTTTCCTTACAACTACTTTACATATGTACACATACACGTTAATACTAAGTTAATAATACTCAACACACAAATCTGCTTCCAATTAATTGGACGAATTAGATAGGTTATATACTTTTTGTTTAAAGAATCCCAATTTACTGCTGGATTGCTTCTTTTGTCGTTCCTCAGCAAGAGCTTCTTTATAGGCAAACCATTTGGCGCGAATCTCGGGATTTTTGGGTCCCCAAGCTTCGGAGAATCTTAAAGATGTCTTGAAAGTCTACAAAGAATAATGATAACCCATAGTTATATTTGTAAAGATTTTTAAAAAACTTCCAATTTACTTACATTACAAAAGGTATCCTTGTAATTAGTTTTGATATACCAGAAACCCCACAGGGGAAATTGCAAAACGCCAATGGCAAATATAATCCAACCAGCAGCTGCAATTCGAAGATATTATTGGGTAAGAAATATATATGTTTATCCCTTATTATAACTTACCATTGGCTGCCTCGGGATATTCAATTTTCTTGTAAGTCAAAGGCTCTGTGGTTACCATAGAATAAATGAAGATTACCAACATCATAACGGGTGTCAGGAATGACCAACATAAACGCCAATATAGGGAGACTTTTCGGTGCGTCATAAATTCCACATCGTCACAGAAGTTTTGTAAGCCTTAAAAGAATAAAACAAAATTTTAAATTTGAATGCAAAATACGCTATCTTCGATTCGAGACTACATTAAAACCTTTAATATATTATTTTTTTGGTAACAAAAATACCGCAATATTGTAAAGTTTCTCACTAGCCATTATCGTACTAAGACTAGAAATTTCCTGAAGTGACAGTTGGTGATCTGTCTGAATTCGAGTCAATTTGCTTCCCGTTGGTTATGAAATCTGCTGATGGGGATTATAGTGGTGCGGTAATTCGAATGCAAAAGTTCAACTTTCTTTAGATCTTAACAAGTTTACAACCAATAAGCGTCCCCGATTATAGATGCGATGTCGATTACGAAGTTAAGACACTGAAGAAGAGACTTACAATAGAATGTACGTGGGGACAAAGAAGAGAATGTGAGATGAATATTTGTGAGAGAATAAATGAAAAAAGCTCAGCTTTAACTCAGCACATGAAACAGTATGCAGACTTCAATAATGTGTGAAGTATTGATGAGGAGAGGAGAGCGAATAAAAAATAAATAATCTTGAGAGCCTCCGCATACAAGAGAGAATGCACATATCCATGAATAAAAAAACAAGTTAAATAGTATCAGCATAGACAAATGAAGGTATAGACTAAAAAGTTTTAAAATTTTCCCTTCCGGCTGATGTCACTACTGTAGATCTTGGGCCAGTCAAGTCACTCAGGGCTAGTGATGTCACTCGACTTCGAAAACTATTTATTCACTTTTCTGCTATTTAAATGCTATATTTTTATATTTCACGACATATTTGGATAATGTAAAAGTAAACAAAGTTACTGTTTCGTTTTTAATTGATAAATAATAAAGAATCATAAAAATATTCAATATTTTGTAGTTTGAGAGAATTGAGTGAGTCTACTGAACCTCTCTCACAGCGTGAACGACATCTATTGAAGCACTTTTTTCGAAGATAACAGAGGAGACAACTTTTTAGTCTATACCTAATTTGTCTATGGTATCAGTCGGTTTTGCCAACAGATATGTACCCCCAGCCTTGAGTTATAATTATTCAAACTGTTGTTTACGGGGGAGGCTCCGAAGCAATTGGACAATATTGACCAATTCGTATCTGACCTAAGACTGATAAAAACAATAAAACGCGCCAGATTTGGACTATATCGACTATCTCCTATACTTTATAAAAGATATCTATGTGCAAATTTTTGGAAAATGTGGACATAGGCGTAAATTAACAGATGTGACGGACCGAAGTATTCACTTCATCTAATACAAATGCATTGGTATGTGTAACATTTAAAGGAAATCGAACATTTATATTCAATTTTATACAGTTTATATCAGATTTCTGGTTGAAAGAAATATTTAGATATAGCTGACTTGTTCCAGAATTATGACAGTTATAAGTATTGGAAATGTTGACCCTTTGTGGTTGAGGTACCAAAAGGGGTTGGCAGGTATCCATCATCTTCACAAGAGATTTTGCGTTAGCAAAAATGTTTGTATGTGTAAAATTTTGAAAAGAGTTAGGGGCTTGGGTGAAGAAATGGTCCGATCTCTACCATCTATATAACAGATCTTGTGTTGACAGAAATATTGAGACGTGCCAATTCTGAATAGAATTGACTGAACGAACAACAATTGATTTTTATATATATAGAAGAAGAAGAAGGTAAAGTTCTTCTTCTATATATATAAAAATCAATTGTTGTTCGTTGGTAATGGAATCAGTTGAGAACGGCTGGACCGATTTGCATAATTTTTTGTACAAGCATTCGTCATACCCCGAGTTATTGACCACGCCTACTTTTACGCCCACTATGTCCATTTATCTAAAATCCTTATATTTTTCAAAATAATGAAGATATCGGTTTGAAAATTATTACACGAGATATTGTTGATTTTCCCTCCAACCCTAGGGATTTATTTAATGGCTGTGGAACTGACCACGTATACTTCTAATCTATCTATATATAAAAGAAAGTTGTGTTAGTTACCACGCATATAACTCAAGAACCGCTAATCTGATCTGATTTTAACGATTCACACAAATTCGCAATTGTCTCCTGTCCGAAAAGGATAAAATTAAAAAAAAAAACGCGTAAAAATGTGAAATTTGAAAATTTTCATTATGACTTTTAAAAGTGTACAATAGTAATGTTTTATTTTGCCTGATTTTTTCCATTTTGACTTACCATTTTCGAATGTACATTTGTAGTGTTTTTTTTTTTAATTCTAATATGATGTGTAGTCTTTTTTGGTAGTATAAAGCGACGACAATTATGGAGTGGTGGACCTGAATAGATGATGTCAAAATAATTCAACGTGGTCAAACCATAGTTAAAAGATACTTTTTCAAAATTGCTAAAAATCCAAAAAAAAAGAACCTATTGCATTGCAAAAACTCGAAAATATCAAAAACTAAAATCCGGAAAAAATACAGAACATTTTTTCACTGAAATCAAATTTAAAAATAATAGTAAGGACTAAACTTCGTAAGGACCTTTAAACTTTCGCTGTAAAAAACCAGCGATCAAGTTGAAGATTTTTTTTAATTTCTTTATTAGTTACTTTGTTTATAACTCAAGAACGTTTTGACGGATTTTCACAATTCGTACAATTTCGGAATGGAATCTTGACAAAAAAAATGCGCAAAATATGTCAATAAAAATATAAAAGAAAAAAAAAAAAACCTTTTGGTGTGAAATTTTTTCAATTTTAAAACTTTATAGAAGTGTGCATTTTTTATTGTTTTGAATTCTAAATTAATAACCAAAAATGAAATAGTACACAATACGATGTTAAAAGGCGATCTTTCATGTCTGACATTGGCATTTAGTTTTCAACTCCAAGTCATAACCCCCGGATAAAGGTACAACCCGATTTCAAGTATATCTCACATTTTAATCATATTTTCATACTAATTTCGGCAAATGTTGGTAATTTGGGAAGAAACCATTCTTGCAAAATCTGATCACATTTTGTATAACCATCATATGATTTAATGAACCGGACATTTGTTTAATCGTCTTTGAATTATACTATGATAAAAGATATGGACATTATGGGGTCTCCAACGCGCAATTTCAATGACAAAACAATAAATTCCCATTATACTTTAAAAACAAGTAAAAAACATTAAGTTCGAACGGGCCAAACTTTTACTACACTCCACCTTTGGGTAAAGGAAACATTAGAGCCCATTATGACCCACATATACCAATTTTTAGACATATTCGTGGGAAAATGGGCCAAAAATCATAAAAATACGGAATATCGGGAAATACGGTTATATGGGGCTATACAAAAACGTGGACCTATACATAAAGTGTTTCGCCAAAGGAACAAGAACCCATTTTGACCTACAAATAAAAAGTTAATATACCCTCCTTTCCAAGTTGGAGGATATAATAAGCATTAATGGCTAAAATTACGGGCCGGCAACGCGGACCAGGCCAGCTAGTTCATTTATTTTGGTTATTCAAAATGTTGACCCTTTGTGGGGGAGGTACCAGAAGGAATGGTCTGATCTCTTCCATGTTTATAACAGATTCTGTGTTGATGGATATATTGGGATGTGCCAAGTCTGAATGGAATCGGATGGTAATTTCGTGTTTTATAAGCTTCACATTCAAATTTTTCACCCTTTGTGGGGTAGGTATCAGAAGGAGTGGACCGATATTGCCCATCTCAGAACTCGATCTATGTTTGATAATAATATTACGATATACCAAGTTTGGATCAAATCGAATACTCCCTTCTCACCAGCCAGACAGACGAACGGACGGACATCGCTAGATCGACTCCAAATGTCCTGAAAGAGGCCTATGGTCTAAAGCCGTATCAAATGATATATACCCTCTTAAAATCGAGGAGATGTACGCTAAAATAGTGAATTCCTTCCTCCGTTCAATGTGAAAAAATCTCGTAGATAAGGGGGTGGTCGATTGATGATGCAATGGTATGGAATTTATTTCATTTGAAAGAAAACTATGAAGAGTAAACTGGCCGATCCCCGGCCCAAATGTAAATCGCCGGAAGATAAGGAAGAAGAGTTGTGAATTATTGGAAGAAGAAATTTGTTCAGCAAAGAATTGCAAACACTCTGTGAAAGAACTGTAAAATGACTCTTTTACAGAACTGTTAACTGACGACGAATTTTAGAATAACCAGAGACAACTATTATCAAACTATGAATATCCGAGCGGAATTTTATTCCCACGGAAAGCATTTTTCTCGAGAGATCAATCCTCGAATAATTGAGGAGATAATATTTGCGAACATAGCAACGCGATTGGGTCTTTTCTATATCTTGTGTACCCTATTTGTTGTACAAAATTGGTGCAAATTTACACATAACGCGGATGCACTTTTTCTGAAATATTTCCAAACTCGCATTAGGTTTGCCAGAAAGATTTATCTAAAGGAAAAATAAATTTTGGGAGCTTTCGCGATACCTACTTACTTCCTCCTCGAAATTTTTTTAGGGAGAAATTTTAGTTTATTATAGCAAAAAATAGAAACGACAAAAAAATTCCCCGCGAAAATTTTATTCTTGGTTGGTTGGGCTAAAATCTTTAAATAATTGTATCATTTCCCACTTACCATAAATCCAAACAATGCCAACAATTTCCAAAATTGCCAAGGCAAATATCACATAAGTTCCGCCATAAAAATCAACTAAATTCAAAATCCATTGTCCTCCCTAAAAAACAAAAAAAAAAAAAAAAAAAAATCCTCAAAATATGATAACAAAAATAATCCAAATATCACTACTTACAGGTGTTACATAGACCAAGCCCAACAGAAATCCACATATCGATGTGACCAAGGCCACCGCCCAATATTTAAAGGATTTAAATTGATCGCATACAATGGTCACAATTGTACTTTGCAGTGCCACAATTGAGCCCACACCCAAGACGAACAGCATGAAAAAGAATAAAACGGCAAATAACTGTGGTACGGCCTGAAATTTTGCAATAGCATCGGGATACGATATAAAAGCCAAAGCAGTACCACTTTGCACAACCTCTTTGATGTCTGAAATATTTAGATTGTGTGCCAAGTTTCCTAGGATTCCAAATATCGTGACACCGGCCAATAAGCTAGTCACGGTATCCAAACTGGTCACAATCATGGCATCTCTGAAATGGAAGTAAAGATATAGATTTTTATTTGATGGTTGAAGTTAGTGTCTGTAGAATAAATACCTACCTATAAATTGGATGATCGAAGCGATTATATGAAGAAAACATTATAATGGGGCCTACGCCAACTGCCAACGAAAAGAAACATTGAACAACGGCCTCCTTCCAAACCTGAAAATAAAAAAAGGTTTTTAATTCAAAATGTTTTACGCCATGTTCAGAATCGTAATTATAGAAGGAAGTTTAGAAGTCTTGCGGACATATCAAGAAAATGATAATAACATAAGTAATTCAATATATTTTCTACAAAACAAAAACTAAACTAATGGCTGAGATGAAAAAACTGCAACCACTTTCAGACTGCTGTCATTTCCAAGTCACTCTTCCGACAGCTGTTAAAATTATTCCAGTAACAGCTCATTATATTGTTTAAAAAACGTACAAAAGCATTTGGTGAGAATTTTCCAGAAAAAAAAGTTGTTCGTGGTGGAATTCAAGCGTGATAGTTTGATTTCTTTATATTTGGCTGGAAAACCACAAGTGACTATCGTTAGAGCACTCCAGCATTTAAATGTGAATAATTTTTTTGTGTCTCGTAACATCGCTCATTACCGTGATACTGGTAGCATAGCCCGACGTCAAGGAAGTGGACAAAAGAAAACAGCAACATCAGCAAAAATGGTTCAAAAAATCAAGAAGCGACTTGATCGAAACCCGCGTCGCAGTGGCCGAAAAATGGCTCGTGAGCTGAACATATCGCAATATTCCATTCGGCAAATATTGAAAAATGATCTCTGGGTAAAACCGTTGAAAGTCCAAAAAGTGCAAGAACTTACACCGCAACAGAAGGAAAATAGACTCAAGCTAAATAGTTGCTTCACTTGGCCGAATGTGGTGAACTGCCAAATTTGGTTTTCTCCGTCTCCAATCAGAAAACATTCGTTGTCCAGCAGTTTATAAACAAATAAAACGATCGTATTTACTTGCCAAAGAGGTAAGCTGAAAATATGCTCCTTCGGTTGGCCACCAGAACTCAAGTGCCAGACATGGTGATGGTTTGGACCGCCATAACAGCCGATGGTCACTCTCCGCTCGTATTAATCGACCGTGGCATCAGAATAAATGCCGAATATTATCGCAAAAATATTCTGGAGGGTGTATTAATGCCTTGGACATTCCAACAAGGCCCAACACACGCCACCCAAGAATGCTTACAAAATAAGGTTCCTCGCTTCATTTCCAGCGCACAATGGCCACCTAAATCTCCGGATACCAATTCGCTGGACTATTGTGTCTGGAGTATTTTGGAAAGCAAGGTTGGAACTAAAAATACCAATGTGTCGATCACCTCAAACAAGCGCTTCGCCGGGAATGGGCCGAAATACCGCAGAGCAACATTAGGGCAGCGTGTGACGATTTCATTGGAAGTTTGAAGGCCAATGTTTATATAGCAAGTTATAAAGAATAGCCGACTTGTTTCACAAGTTATGACGGATAAAAGTATTGAAAATTGTGGTTGAGGTACCAGAATGCGTTGACAGATATCAGTCATCCTCACAACAGATTTTGCGTTAGCACAAATGTTTGAATGTGTGAAACTTGAAGAGAGTTGGATGCTTATTTGCTTTCTTTGAACGTTTTGTTTTTCAAAATCTTTTGGTTTGTTTTTCAAAATCTTCTGGTACTTCACACACCCCTATGTCGGTAAGGCACCAGAAGGAATAGTGCGATCTCTGCTATCTTTATAATAGATCTTGGGTTGATGAAAATATTGAGATGTACCAAGTCTGAATGGAATCGGATGTTAATTCCGCGTTTTGGGAGCTTCAAGAATATTTAAAATTTAGACCCGTTGTGGGGGAGATACCAGAAGGAGTGAGCCGACATATCCCATCTTCACTTCTGTTAGTAGAAATAATGGGATGTGTGAAATATAAAGAGAACCGGATGCTTATATCGGATTTAAGAATATATTTGGTTATTCGAAACTTTAATCCTGTACCAGAAGGAGTGGTCCGATCTTTTTCATCTTTATAACATATCTTGTGTTGATAGAAATATTGAGATGTACCAAGTCGGAATGTAATCGGATGTTTATTTCGCGTGTTATGAGCTTTATAGATATTGAAAATTTTGACCCTTTGTGGAAGGAGTGAACCGATATATTCCATCTTTACACCAGACCTTGGGTTAATAAAAATAGTGTGATGTGTGTAATTTGAAGACAATCGCTCATTTGCATCACATTATATAGGAGTGATAATTATTCAAAATTCTGACCCTTTGTGTGGGAGTACTGGATGGAGTGAACAGCTGTTCGCATCTGACATAGCAATGATGCAAATATTAGGATCTGCAAAGTTGGCGCAAAATCGGATCATCCTTTCTCTTTTTTTGAAAATTTCGACTTTTTGGGGGGGAGATACCAGAAGGCGTGCACAAATATATGGACAATATTAGATCCGAACTCGATCTAAGTTTGACAATAATATTACGATATACCTAGTTTGGATGAAATCGGACACTCCCTTTCGAGAGTTATCGTGCGCCCCAGCCAGACAGTCAGACGGATGAACCAACATCGCTAAATCGACTTCAAATGTCCTGAAACGGATTTGGCCCAAAGAGACCTAGGATCTAAAACCGTTATTTCGATGAGGCACGTTTTAGCCATGTCAAATCATATATACCCTCTCTAGCCATATGTCTGACGGTACAGTATATGGTCTGTTCCACATCTGCAAGAATATAAAAGTTTTTACTACGATTACCGATTTTCCCTTTATCGTTAATCCATAAAAAAAGTACTGTGCTGGTCCAAGAGGGACTAAGTATTGTACTTTGGGACTTTTCCAAAAAAATGCAGCTACCTAGGGAGAAAAAGTGCAGCAAATATATCGTGAAGGGTTTCCGTAACACAAAAGTTTATAACTGGACAACACAACTAATCACGAATTTTAACAACGAAATCCTTAAAATATCCACATGGCACTAGATTTTACTGCGTTCTTTCTATGTACAATAATAGAGACTTAAATGGTTTACCTTTAAATCCACCAACTGACCCCAATCAGGTTTCAAGAAAAACAAAATACCATCCACAGCACCTTCCAAAGTAACGGCGCGTGCCAGCAATGCCACCAGCACCACATATGGAAACAGGGCCAAAAAGTAGGCTGCTTTTCCGGAACTCTTAACACCTTGACGTATCACAAAAAATATCACAATCCATGAGACAAACAATGATGCCGTCAAATATAAATCTGGCCAACCCAAACCGTCGATTATTTGGGTTTTTTCTTTCGAAACTATTTCTCTGTAACAAAAAAACACTAATTAGTTTTTTTGAAAATTAAATAGAAAAAGTGTGTACTTACGTAAAATATAATTCAGAACTGCTGGTTAATTTGTGAGACGCATTACTGGCCACTAAGCTATCCTCTTTCGGCATAGAATCCACACAATCTTGCCATCCCTCGCGGCAATATGTCCATGGTAGCACGGCTTGGCACGACACTACCATGTAGTATAATGTCAGAGCTATCAGCGATGAATAGTAGGTTATAATACAAATTGTACCGAAGGCTTGACCATAACCGACACCTGCAAAATTAAAACGTTTTTTACACAGAAATTGGCAACATTGTATTCATTTGTAAGTATCATGACAAAACTAAATATTTCTATTTATCGCAAATATAGAATACCATATAAAAATTTGCTGAGTTAAAAGAAGCTGACATGATTGTCAGCTTCTGATTGACATTCTATTTCTTTGACATTTTTCAATTTGGGTTTTGAGGGTTAATTACCCATACATGCCTAAAAGTATGCTATGCATATGTTACAAATGTATACAACTTTAGATAATGATCATTATTTGCGAGTGTTTTTGTGTGTTTTGCGCACTTACCCAAAAATGATGGACATATAGACCAAATTTTCACCGATCCTTTACTTGTAAACTGTCCCATTATCATTTCCAAATAGTACATCGGTTTACCTTTGGCCAAAAATATAAAAAAAAATAGTTAATTGAATTGAATGACACTGAACTCCATTTCTTACCAATCAAAAATAACACCACCAAATATGGAATTAGAAATGCTCCACCTCCATTTTCATAGGCTGTGAAGGGAAATCGCCAGATATTACCCAATCCGACCGACATGGATATGCAGGACATTAGGAATTCAACACCATTTGACCAATTCGGTCTGTTGTCGTCGCCGCTAGCTGCGTCTTCAGTCTTATCATTTTTAGTAGTTTTGTTGTTGTTGTCCGAGAGCTAAAATAATTACAAGAAAAGACATAAATAAATATTTTTTAAATGAGGAAAGGTTGATTTGTAACAATATTCCTTCACATTTGTTCATAATTCGGAAAAATGTAAACATATTTTCATTTTCAGTAATTTGACGATTTTAGACACATATGGAGTGAAAAAAGTTTTTATATCCTCAGCCATATGGCTAGAGAGAGTATTTATCATTTGATACGGCAAAACGTGCCTCATCAAAATAACGGTTTTAAACTCTAGGTCTCTTTGGACCAAATCCGTTTCAGAACATTTGAGGTCGAGCTAGTGATGTCCGTCCGTCTGTCCGTCCATCTTTCTGTCTGCCTGGCTGGTGTGCACGATAACTCTGGAAGGTATCGTAATATTATTATCAAACTTAGATCGAGTTCGGAGATGGGCAATATAGGTCCACTCCTTCTGGGACCTCCAAAACAAAAGGTCGAACTTTTCAAAGAAAATATTTTACTGCGCAGAAAGAGAAAGGATAATCCTTTTTTGCTCCAACTTTGCATTTCCTCATATTTGCATAGATGCTAGTTCAGGTGTGAAAATGGACAATATCGGTCTTCTCCATCAAGTGTAAGAGTCCGATTGTCTTCAAATTACACACATCACAATATTTTTATTAACCCAAGGTCTGGTGTGAAGATGGAATATAGCAGTCCACTCCTTCTGGTACCTCCCCCACAAAAGGTCAACATTTGAAATATCCATGAAGCTAATAAAACCCGAATTTAGTATCCGATTTCATTCAGACTTGGCACATCTCAATATTTCCATCAACGCAAGATATGTTAAAAAGATAGTAGAGATCGGCCGATTTCTTCTGATACTTTCCCCACAAAGAGTCAAAATTTTGAAATATACAAAAAGATTATAAAATCCGAAATAAGCATTCGGTTCTACTCATATTTCACACATCCCATTATTTCTACTAGGGATATGGGATATATCGGTACACCACATAGTGGTAAGGGTATTATGTATTTGTGCATTTGTTTGTAACACGGAGAAGGAAACGATATAGGCCCATAGTTACTTTTGAGGATCTCCATATAATCACTTTCTGAGTTGATTTATGCATGTCAGTCCGTCTGTCCATGTATTTTTGTGAACAAAATGCAGGTCGCATTTATTATCAGATTGAGATGAAATTTTGCACAAATCATTTGTTTGGCCCAAGGTCGAACCCTATTGAAATTGGAGATAGTCGGTGAAAATGTAGATATAGCTCCCATATATATCTTCGTCCGATTTGCCTTTTATTGTGCACCAAACGTGTAATATCAGCCCGAATAGTATGCAATTTTGCACATACAACGGAATTAGGCCTGAAAATAAGTATGCCAAATTTGATCGAAATCGGTTCAGATATAGCTTTAGCTCCAATATATATTGCTCATCCGATTTGTTATTTTTGTCCTCCGCAGACGTAATATGCACTCTGTAACAACAATATTTGGAGAAATATATCAAATGCAGCTCAGAAATACCTTTGCTAAATTTTATCGAGATCGGTTCAGATTTGGATATAGATCCCACATATAACTTCGTCCGATTTACCTTTTATTGTGCACCAAACGTCTAATATTTGCCCAAATGGGAAGGAATTTGGCACTTACGAGCGAATTGAGTCTAGAAGCTAGTATGCCAAATTTGGTGAAGATCGGTGCAGATATAGCTATAGCTCCCATATAAATTGTTCATCCGATTTGTTTTATTTGTTACCCACAGCCGTAATATGCACTCCGTAACAACGATATTCAGGGAAATATATTAAATACAGCTCAGAAATATCTTTGCCAAATTTTATCGAGATCAGTTCAAATTTGGATATAGCTCCCATATATATCTTTATCAGATTTCATATTAATTGTGCACCAAATGAGCAATACAAGTCCGAATTTAAAAGATACAAATGCTTCGGCATATTTAGTCCTTTGATCTTTAAATTATAATTATAATCATAACGTGTATGATTGAATTCTCCCATAAAAACTTTTAATTGTTATCTAGAGCTCTACTAAATTAGCAAAGTTGTGTAGGGTATCATAAAGTCGGCCCGCCCGACTTTAGGACTTTCTTTACTGGTTTTATCTGTATTAGATGAAGTATGGAAATGGAGTACTTCGGTCGACTATAGCTGGTACCTCACGCACATTTTAACATTTTCTTTAAATTATTATGTTACGTTGTAATATTTATATTATAATTTTCAAGGTCAACAATTTGAATAATCATAATAGTAGTCAAGTATATGTATATCTGTCGGCAAAACCGTCTGATACTTTTTAACTTGTTTATTTCAAAACACATACAATCACAAAATAAATTTGTATTTCTCTGTCTACTCCTGATATAGGGCATACTGACCTAAGTCAGAAAAAAGCCTTCTACGTATTCTCACCTTAACGCTTTGCATACATAAGTATGCATATCATTGTCACTCTCTTTAAGAGTTTATCCCCGATATTCCTTGAACTTTTTAAAAAATAATTCTTATTTTGGTTCTTTGTAATTATTGACATTTATGATATGTTGTTTCGGCATACATTTGTAAATATTGACTTTTTTATCGTTACCAAAAATAAATGTAAACACCATTAAACGAATCATTGGACCTTCAAACAATTTTCAATTCTTGTGAAGAAAGGCCTTTAGTATGAGACGATGACTTGTATATTAGGGATATGAGTGAAAATGATATGGTCAATTTAATGATAATATTAATAAAAATAATTACAGTAATATCAAAAATAATAAAAAATATTATTGCATATATTTTTTGGATTTGTACAATCGGTGAACGCGACCTCTTTAAAAATATGTTATTTTTTCTTTTTTGAATACTTGTTTAAAAAAGTTTCATCCCTAATGTACATGAGTATCCATTGCAAGAATGAACTCAGTTATATCGAAGGTTCAAAAACTCTGCATTTACATTTCTTATGAAGTAAGAAATTTAAATCGTTTAAAAAATCCCCTCTCTAGCTACGGTTGAAAAAAACCACCACTTCAGATTTATTAAAATGCAGGTCTCGTTGTTATTATTTACATGTTAGTAAACTACTTTTAGGGGATTTTCTGCCATTTTAAGCAACTTTAATATGCAACATTATAAATGTTTCTCAATATTTGACATCATTAACTTTTTGTTTCTAAGAATTATTTTTTGGTCATAGGCTGTGGTTTCATTCCGCCTGGCAGTCAAACGTTGTGGCTTTCAGGAAGTTTGCAGCACTTCACCTCTTTAGGAAGGCGCTAAGGTAAAATTGGCGGGAAAACAACTAAAGCGATGATGTACTCCAAAGCATTTGTTTAAAAAACTATTTGTATGTCAGTTTTTCAATATTATTTAGATAATAGCTATTAAAGCAAATTACAAATGTCAGACTTTACGGAAGCTTTGGCATAACTCAACGATTTTTATTACTAATAACACAACACTTGTATTGTTGTGACAAAAAGTCCCCCTGCAAATGAAAGTAAACAATAAAAGTATTTAGGAGAAAGAGAGAGAGAGCACGCGAGAGAGAGAACCGTTGCGAATGATGTATTTATTATTGTCTAAATGTGTGGGCTTATTGCTTAATTTATTCTATTGTATTTGTAAAAAACTACTGAAATAAAAATCATTTATAGGTATATAAATTAGATCATTGGTATTATTTTTAAGTAATATAAATAAACAGGGTGAACTGTGCCAAATCGTTTATACCCTTCATCACGGAAATGGATGCACGGTACACAAGTCTCAAAAATATAATTCCCAATCGTAAATTAGTTTTTTTCTATGTGACAACTACCAAGTCCCATGTATGGTCAACAAAGAAGAGCGAAGAAGACTACTTTTGGCAACTATTATTTGACAATAAACTATAAGCATCGGCAACTTCAAACTGTGCACGACGGTGATTCAATAAATATTAATTTTTTTAAATTTTATAGTGGACAGTGATTCTCCCTCTCGAGAGGCCCTAATTTCAAATATTCGGCAACATTTTCCCTTTCCCCGAGTGCATAGTTTGCCGTAAAGAATAATGAATTATTGTGAGAGAGGTACATTTTTTCTACTCTATCAAGCTTAAGGGTAGAATCCATAAAACATTTTTTTGGCTGGCATAAGTCATCGGTTTCACCGTAGAGGGACAAAGGAAATTTAGGTTGACTTAGTTCGATTTTGACCCTACGCTCCTTTGTTTTTATATGCTCCACCTTTACTTTGTCATTCCGTTTTGTAACATACCTAAATATTCGTCGTAGACCCCATTAAGTATATACAGGATGAGATAAAAAAGGCTGCAACAAAGTCAAAGGCCATAATTTTTATTTGGCCCATTCCCGGCGAAGTGCTTGCTTGAAGTGATCGACACGTTGGTATTTTTAAGTGCCAACCTTGCTTTCCAAAATACCCCAGACACACGAGTCCAACGGATTGGTATTCGGAGATTTTGGTGGCCATTGTGCGCTGGAAATAAAGCGAGGAACTTCATTTTGTAACCATTCTTGGGTGGCGCGTACTGAGTGCGTACCCAAGGCTTTAATAGGCCCTCCAGAATATTTCCGCGATAATTCGGCATTTATTTTGATGCCACGGTCGTTTAATACGAGCGGAGAGCGACCATCGGCTGTTATGGCGGCCCACACCATCACCCTGGTCGGCGCTTGAGTTCTGGTGGCCGAAGGTACACATTTGCAGCTGACCTCTTTGGCTAGTAAACATGATCATTTTGTTTGTTTACAAACTGCTGGATAACAAATGTTTTCTCATCGGAGAAAAACAAATTCGGCAGTTAACCAATTTCGGCCAAGCGAAGCAACTCTTTAGCTCTTTTGAGTCTATATTATTTCTGTTGCGGTGTGAGTTCTTGAATTGTTTTGGAATTTCAATGGCATAACCCCGAGCACATTTTTCAATATTTGCCGAATGGAACATTGCGATATGTTCAGCTCACGAGCCACGAGCGACGCGGGTTTCGATCAAGTCG